TTATTAAAGAATCTCTATTGAGGTCCAGCGGGCCGCCACTGATGCACGTTAGAGATTGCATCTTTAGATCTCCGATCTTGTTCACAAATTCACGGACTAGTGCTGTCTCGTAAAAATTTCGTAGGACGCGTTAAGAGTGACAAAATATTCTCTGTATCTACATATTATTTATGCGAGTCAAGTGAAAATAATGAATAATAAAAATATAACAAATAATATGAGACACGACCCATTGTCTATATTAGAACACTTTCTCATTGGGTAACAAAGTCGTAATTTTTCATTTTTGTCAAAAAGTGTCTATAGTGGTGAATTATGATTTAGGTTTTTTTTAATAAAGTTTCATGTATGTGGAAAATGTAGTTGATTACCAAAGGTTACAATTTTTATTTTGAAGACTGCATGGTCTAGGAAGTGTACATTTTTTTTATGGGGCAAGTTTCCAAGGGCGGGCGTTGCCAAAGTGCGAGCCAGCGTGTTATTTGATCACAAGTGCGAGACATCACAAGTGTGAGCCAGCGAGCCATGACGTCACAATAGATACGAGACGTTAACGAGTTGTGCGAGGTATCGGCTGAGATTTGTGGAGTACAATTCAAAAAACAACTATTGGTCTAATAAATTGTGATGTTAAATAGACAATGTTAGCTATCAAGGAGCGGCGTTGTTTTTCATTGGGACCCTCGTCCCTTCAAGGCTAGGCCTATACCATCCTAGTCTAGGCCTAGAGTAGGATAAGGCTAGCCTAGACTACTCCTAGCGCTGTCGAGACGAGTCCGAGTTTACACCTTACCTCTTCCACATGCAATGTTGTGGTCCAGAAATCAAATTAGCAAAAATATTTAAAAACATAGAAGCGTAACATATTTAAAATACATAAAAGTCTATTTAGATGGGTCAACAATTTGTGATACGTTTTCAAAAATGGAGTACAGTACAGTATCAAACTTTATTACCGTATACATTGTAGACTATTATTACAGTAAGGGGTGTATAAAGTTGGAAATGTCACATCCTTTTTTTTTAAATCTACCCCCTCCCCATAAAAAACATTTTGAACAGTAAATGTCCTGTGGTGTATATTTAAAAAAAAGTATGGTACAGTACAAATTATAGTTTTCTGATTGTAATATAGATGCCAAATTTAATATAAAAACAAAGGTACATGGATGATGAAATAATAAAAAAGTTAAAGATTCTGCCTGTTTTAGTACAAAATTTTTTGTTGACTTAAAAAATAGGATTACAATTTGAACATGCAATTTAACTTTTATGTCTTGAATATTTAATATTTCACATATTGTCTAATTTTATCGAGGGTCCTTAATGTCCTGCAGGAACTGGATAGGTCACCTCTTTAAAAATAGTAATAAATAAATAATTATATTAATAATAATAATAATAATAATAATAATAATAATGAGAATGATGATAATAATATAGGTGGGCATTTAATTTGTGGATGTGAATAATATAAAAACTATAAACAGATTAACATTGCAACTCTGTCCATTTTATTTCTTCCATTTCAAACTAATGACTATACTCCAGGATGTTTTTTTTTTGTATATTAAATGAAGTAGTGTAATCACTAAAATCGAAAAATTGTTTAGCGAATTTGGCCCTCAGGTGGCGTGCGTTTGGCCGTCGTGAAGACTGCCAACTATCTGGCAACCCTGTATAGGCCTAGAAATCGGCGTTCTGCTGAGTGCCCGCTGATACAGACGATTGTTTCGGGGTTGGCAAGGCCTCGTCAGGGTGGGCCAGGGTCATGTGACAATACAATAACTGATGTAAGGAAATGGTTTGATTTTTGTATTGACCTATAAGGTATGGTCATATTATATACCGTACATTATTATTTATGCAAAAATGTTGTTTTTAACGCTTTTATGGTGTTTCAATCGTGCCTCGTACATTCTATCGTCTACGGTCGTCATGCCTCGCAGACGCGACATGCGGACGTTGGTACGTGTAGGTTAGTCTACAAACGTCGCCTAAAGTAATTGATTTTACCCGGCAGAACGAAAGAAGGAAACTCCGCTTTTCAGTCGTCTTAGGTCCTTGTTTTATGACAATGACCTTTCAGAGGTCAAATTGCTGTCAAGAATAACAAAGAAAATGAAGAGTAATTCAATAGTTCCTATTGCATTACATGCATAAGAACTAATGGGACATGCTGTGACAAAATGGCTAGCCTGTCGGACAGACCAGATTTAGTAAATGAGCTATGAAATATAGGTGCTCAAAAATGGCAAAAATGATCATTTTTTCACTAAATCATTAATAATCAATTTATTTATGTAAAGAAATAAAGGAAAACAAAAGAAAAAACCTAGGTCAAAGTTCATTAAAGCAATTGCAGGGTAAAAGTCATACAAAAGACACATTACAAAGCATTTATAAAAACTTAACATAAACATTAAAGAAATTAACATTTTTGGAAAACAACTAAATATTAAGATTACGTCGTTAATTAAATAAATTTAGTATAATAATATAATTATTATATTAGTTCAAATTATTCAACACAATTTTTGAAGTCATCAATTTCTAATTATATTTTACCTCAAAAGATTATGTATCTGAGAAAAATAATTAAATTACTAGTTTAACAATAAAAATGACAAGATTAATAAAATTAAACAATTCCGATTTTTCAAGGAGACATCAGCATTATATGAAGACCATAACCATTAAATATATACTAATTATTCTATTAAATAGTTAAAATTATTCTACAATTTTTTAAATGTATAAATCATCAGTTTGTTTTAAGTATATTGCAACTCAATAGATATATCTGATTTTAAAAAAATAATATTCTACCACAAGGGAGGACTTAAACATTTTTACAGCGACAATATCGGTTATCCTTTAAATATTTGCCCAACTTGGTCAGTTTTACCTTAATATTATAAATACAGTATTCCATGTTCAGGGGCGGATTTAGGGGGGGGCCCGGCCCGGCCCCGGCCCCCCCTTTTGGGAGGTAAAAAAAGAAAAAAAAAGAAAAAAAAGAGAGAAAAAGAAAAAAATTATGGCCAAGAATGCCTCAAATGTTATGTTCGGGCGTCTAGAACACAAAAATTTCGCGGGGGCATGCCCCCGGACCCCCTACGACAGTGTTGTCTCAATCGGCCCCCCCTTCCGGCCCCCCCCCTTTAGGACATTTCTGGATCCGCCCCTGATGTTGCTTAACAGAAGGAGGATTCAACCCTGACGGTTCTGATTTTGAGTGGTATTTGGTGAAAGATGATATGGTAGACAGTCTCGAAAGATTATTGCTAACTGTTTTATAGTTAATTGGATTACAAAATTTTAGGATGTTTTTTTAGATGTAACCTCTCGAGCCAATTTCAATGCACTTAAAGAAAACTTTGCAGGCAGATCTTTCAATGACAGCAATGTTGCATATTTGTTATGTTTTCTAGTGAGCTAATTCTACATTAAGTTCAAATGGGACAGTTAATTCTCTAATTAATTCTCGTTTTAAAGTTGTCCATACTAAGCATGTTAGTAACTGTGCGTTGGGATGGGATAGTGGAGGATTTAGAATTAATGATGACGATAATAATTTTATTGTTGCACTGCCTCTCTGGTGTGATGATTTTTCTCACAAAACATTTACAATACCATCGGTACCTGAACGCTTTACTGCAGTATTTATACAGATACAGAGTTAAATCAATAGTTTAATATCTATTAATCATGTCCCAAAGTCTTAGGTCTGGAAATGGTCCACCACTCGTTATCTCATGTATGTTGAGAAGATTACATATTACTAAAGTACAGTAGAACCTCTATTTTAACAGTAGTGCAATTTGACCAACTTGGTTTTTACAAATCCCATGTTTTACTTACCATACACCTTTAAAAAAACCTGAAGTTAATTGTTTGCTACAACTTAGCCAATTTTGCACTACATGTCTCAAATTGGGACACGATTAGGAGATGTATGTGCATGGATATAATAAGACCAAAATATATGACAAAGCACGGTGACATATAAGAATTACAGGGTCGATTGTGTAGGATCTTTATTAACTTTAGGCCCGCAATTCTATGATTCATTACTTCTCATTATTATTTATGGTTACTACAGGACTAAAATCCATGGTTAAGATACCAAATTTAGTATCAAAATGTACATTCAAACATCTTACAAGTATTTAGGACTTTATTTTTTTTGTAAAAACATATTTTTGCCAAAATAGAAGCCGATCCTAAGTTTCAAGATCCGTGGTTCAATGGGGCTTGGACAAAATACCCACAATTTTTGCCAAGATTGTCAGCACTTACGGATACATCCTTGAACATTGCATGATTCTGTCACAGAACTGCTGTCATCACAGTCATCACCACCAAACTGAGGTACAGGGTTGTCGCATGTCCGAGAGCGAGACCGAAGTCCTCCATTGCAAGACTTCGTACAGGTGTCCCATAGCTCCCATTCTGACCATCCGCCATGAACTGAAATTTACAAACATCAAACTAGAGCTAGCCAAAGCTTGTGTCGCAAATACATTTTTGTTGTTAGTCATTAACAATCAAGTTTGCAATTTCTCTGTGCTTGCTAATCAACAATTTGTTTGTACATACATACTGCATATGTATACAAAACTAAATAAAAATGCAGTAACCCACTCTACCGTATTTATCCGAATAACGCCCTGGGGAGTTTATTGTTGAGAAGGGTTTTTGAGCGGGCGATAATTTCAGGAAAGCGTCTGTTTTTTTGGGTGTAAAATGGATATGTATATACTCAAATAAACGCTCCCTTAATTTCACTATAAATGTGGAACTACAACACCTAATTACCTTAAAATGTTTTATTGTGTGACCATGAAGACTTATTGATCCCGACCAGGTTATAACAAAATGGAGTAGAACAATAATATAATACGTTGAGAATGATGCTGCTTCCATTAGATTTGTTTACAGTCATTTAGAGAGTGTTTATTCAAGGGAAAAAAATTAATGCCTAAGGGCGTATATTCGATGGGATGTTTATTCAAATCGGGCGTTTATTCAAATATATACAGTAATTATACTTATAGAGAGATATTGTTAGTTTTTATGAGAAACTTCTGGGGCAGATGCGGGCGGGGGGGGATGCAGAAGGTGCGATCGCACCCCCTAAATTTTATTAAAATAATGGTTTTATTGTATTGATGACATGAAAATAAATTAAATTAAATCTGGTCGCATAACCCACCCATAGTATTGAAAGGTCTGAGGAAGCAGCCTACATGTATTACCGGGTAACCACAGACCACTATGTGGTTTTAATAATCCACCATCCAGTAAATTAAATTTAAGGAAACCTGGCGTCACATTTTTTAGGCAACTTTATCTTTTAACAATAGTACAAATGACAGTGAAAATGATCAGTACACTTTTTGTTGTCAGAGTATAATGTATTTCATCATTACCGTTTAGTCGTAGTAGACCCTAGGTCGTCGCAAATCCAAAGCTCCCTACTACCCGTACGGTAGGCCTACCGTTCTCCCAAGCCAATTCACACTTTTGTGTGATACAATACGTCGACAAAATACCGGCGTCGTTCTGCATTAAATAAACTGGTTTGTTTACGTCAGACTAATACAGTATTACATTTTATTTTTGCCTGTCATCTATGTACAGTAGTATTATTTTGTAACACCTTAACAATATTACAGGATTAATTTGTGGAAAAATTAACGGAAGCTAATTTCGACTCAGAAGCCATGTACGAATCTCTACTGGAATTGGTTTGAGAATATACAAAGTTGAAAGGAGTACATGGCCTCCAAAACCCCAACTCGCATAGTCCTTACCCAATTTTTCTGGATCCGCCATGTTATTAACACTGTTTTAGTATATTATATTTATCAAATTGAAGATACTGTAGTACTGGTAAGACTTTAAATGTATGAGAGTGCAATTTCCGGGTACCTAGGGGTACATATTGCTCAAAAACTTTAGCCCCAACCATGATGGGGCTGAGGTGGTGTGGACTCTCAGGCCTTCGCCAAATCCAGCACCAGCCCCAGAAATTCCTATAATACCTGGGCAAGAGTTTTCTTCTTACCTGGACAAGTATCTGTATTGCAGATTTCTGATTCTTCTGTTGGGTCATCAATAGGACAGATGAGGCCATTATAGTTTGGGGCTGGGTCAGAACAAGTCCTGGTTCTGACCCTTGATCCCCCACCACATGTAAGTGAACAATCCCCAAAGTCAGTCCATTCACTCCAAGACCCATTAATGGGGCATGGAGGCATGGTGCATGGCTGGTCTTTGGTAAGAGGACCAGGACAAACGTCACCACCATACATTGGCTCAGGATTGTCACAGTAACGAAACTGGCTATATACTCCCTCTCCACAGGAGACAAGGCAGTCTGACCAAGCACCCCAGTTTCCCCAGCCACCGTGTATGGGAGCTGAAATGTCAAACATAAATTGATAGGTAATCAATTGCATAGATAGGTAATCAATTGCATAAATAACATATTAAATATTTAATTCTAAAAAATGTATATTCTTACTGTATTTGACAGAGTGAAAAATCATAAAATTATCAATGTTTCATCTTTTATTTTCCTTTCCAAGTAAAGACACACCATTTCACATACAATACGAAAAAATACACCCGAAGAGTTTAATCAAAACTTCATCCAATATATCATTACAAATGATCACTTAATTTATTAACTTCCAATGATACAGAAAATTAATACAACTATAGACTTTTAAGATTTAGCATAATTGGCCTGTAAAGAATACACATATATTGTTTAGGCCTATATCAACTAATTTTAATTGAAACGTAAGCCTTTTATCTTATTTATACAAAAAAAATCAAATCAATTATTAGTATTTATTTTAATTTTTCAAGTTCAGCACATACAGTCTAAGCGCATCAATTGTGCTGGTGAATTCGATGATGAATCAAGTGAATCGTCGATGATGAATCAAGTGAATCATCGATGATGAATCAAGAAGTGAATCGTCGATGATGAAAGTGAAGTATTACTATTATTATTGTGTATGAAAGTTCCCGTATTTTATATAATCAGTGACATATTTAAAATTCAAATAGGTCGACCTGCTGGGCTAGATACCGGCACTTGATTGATATAGGCCGGTCGGTAGTAGGTCAGAGGCCTGGAGAGTTAGGCCCAGGGCCTAATCTAGGGCAAAGGCATATGATTTTTAGTGGAGTAACGTTCGTCCTATCTAATAGAATGTAGGAAGAAAGCCACCCAACAATGGATTATACCATTGTAAGGTGGGGTGCACAATGAGGTGTTTTTTCTTGATGTTGGTCTACAATAGAATTTTGGCTGTAGTGCTAAGAGTTTTTTGTATCAGACCTCTTTTATTCTTTTGTGTATTATGAATTACAAACTGGGTGTAGCCTACCTAGGCATAAACATGATTTAGTACCGTACTCCAAATGCAAACATCATCTCTTAATTTTTTGTTTCCGCTAATTAAATTAAAAGTGAAGTAATTTTCACTGCTCTCTGCTGCTTTTACAGTTTTATTTCACTGTTCTTACTTTCTTTTATTGCAAACAACACAAAGATTAAAGTATCACAACATGTTTAAGGAATTACAATATTTTATTAATTCTTTTACTTTCTTCTTTTCTTAACAAAGAACATATATACAGTATTAAATATCACAACATATTTGATTACAAAAAATAAGTAACATTTTTTTGTAATTTCAACTACAATAATATTTTCTTTTCTTTATCACAAATGACATTACAGTAATTAGCTATGTACAGGCCTACTATAAAGGTATAATTTTCTCACTATCTTTTCTTGCAAACAACATAAGATTAAATTACCACAACATGTTTAAGGAATTTTGTACTTTTCGTATCACAAAATGACATTATCTATGAAGGTCATTATCTATACGCAGACTATACATATGTACATTACTATAAAGTTACATTTACGTAACTGTATACATAACAATTAAAAAACTTTCGAAATTTCAACTTATGAACTATTTTATGAACTATTATACAAGAATTAGTCAAAATGTAAGATAATTTTACAGAGCTGCTCCTGATGTTTTAATGTAGCTTCAGTGATGCGTTTAGCATATAATAATAATAATAATAAAATAATAATAATAATAATAATAATAATAATATTATCAATGGCAATAATAATAATAATAATAATAAACAGGCCTAGATTTTTGTCATTTGGTAAAAAAAAAGAAATAATATGTTATTTGAAAAAAAAAGTAATTCAAGAAATTTCCAATAAATATAAGGTCACAATGGTATATTTAAACTTAAAGAACAGTAAATAATTATCTTATAGTATTATGTATATATTGGGCTATTCCATGACAAAGTGGAATTGTATACAAATAATTTTGTTTACTTACTAATATAAGTAAATAATAAGTAAATAGATATTTGTCATTGGTCCCACATTTTTTACCTAAATATTTTTCCAAACATATCCAGGAATCAGATTATAAACATTTTTCGGGTAAATAATATTGTTTTCTTTTAATAATTTGGGTTTATTCAGTAGTATTAGGCCTACAATTTGAATAAAAACCAGAGCCTTGCAGGCGTCAACGTTCCTATGCATGATACATGACTTAAAAAGTATATAGGCCCTATATATATATACACGTACATATACACATATATATACGTATACACCTATATATATACGTATACATGTATATATATATGTATATACGCGCGTGTACATACATACGCGTGTGTATATATATATATATACGCATGTATATTATACGTATATACATACGTATACATACACGTGTAAATATACATATACGTATACATACACATGTATATATGTAATATATATATAATATATATAATATATATTATATGTATATTATATATAATATATATTATATGTATTATATATATATATATTATATATGTCCTATATATATTTTATATAACATGTAAACCATATAATAAGTATGTGTAAAGAAGTTTGCAATTGCGCCCTCAATTTACTCAGAGGGTTCAGTACAGCTAGCTACCCGTATGTTTGAAACTCGAGCGTTGCGGTGTTTGGGTGTAATGTACACGATTTTAATTTTCATTCCTTGGTACTTGGTACTTGAATAAGATGCTCCACTTGGCCTCGTTTTGGCTACAATAGTTTAATAATTTGTTATTATAACCATTACTCATTATCATTAATGAAATAATAGTCAGTCAGAGGGCTTAATAATATGTAATAATATGTATACTAAGCCTGAAGGTGGCGCTTTACTACGACGGCCATCTTGGATGGTACACATACATAACTCTGCATTGCTGCGCCATCTTGTCAACACTCTAGTTGTTTAATAGCTCTATGGACTACTCATACAACAGAAATAAACGTCGCATGGAGTTAGTGAAAAATGAAGATGTAAATGAAAAAACGATGTATTTCAGCAAGTATTAAAACCTTTCTGTTTTATTTTAGGCCTTCTTCAAAATACCTATGCCACAGCAGTTGATTTTTTTGCCGTAAAACCAAAATAGTTTCATGCATGCCGACTTGCCGATCGGTTAGCGTGAGCCCTGACTGAACTCTGCAGAAAATCCACATCGAACTTCGCATCGCGATGTAAAACAAAATGTCGGAAAACTTTTCTTTGACGCATGCGCAATTGCATAAATGTCTACACACATACGCACACACATACTACACACAATAAAAAACAAAAGAAATGAGACAGAGTGATTACAATAGTTCCTATTGCATTACATGCATAGGAACTAAAAAGTTATATTTATGAATGATTTTTATATCATTTTATATTTATCTGATATGGTCTTTCAGAAATAACCATATATTATAAATCCCATCAATGTGTTTTTTGATTAAAGTTTGAGAAATCACTATTAATTATTAAACTAAAAAAAAAAAGTTGAATAAGTAGAACAGTGCCTTTATGTTATATGACCAGACAAACTGAATTTTCACAAGTTGTAGAATGAGTAAAATTATGATTGAGAAGTATTACTTTTTTGTTCCATAATTATAAACATTAAGATAGTAGTTACCTACTATGTTCTGTTACTTTTGATGCTTTAAAGAATAATAAATGATTGTTTTTTAAAAAAGAAAGCGAGAAAGTGAAATATCACTGAAAAAGAAAATATAGTCATTGCATTCACACAACCTGCTAAAATAACTATTTATACAGTATATATCAATAGTAATGAAAGTATATTAAAAACACAAATCAAATATCACATAAAATTATTATATGAGATAAAAATATAAAGCGAGAAATAAAATATAGTCATTGTTTTATACAAATATCACAAAACCTGATAAAATAACTATAATGTAGTATTTATCAATAGTTCTGAAGGTATTTTAAAAACAAAGAAATAAACTATCACATAAAATTATTATATAGGCTCTTTATAGCAAATCCCTTTATAGCACTTGTCAAGATTATATTTAGTAATAAATAGTAAATATTTATTTGTGAATAATTGTCATATCAATACACTGGAAGTAAACATATTCTAAATTTTTACTTTATTTTATGTTAAAAAGTAAATAAATACTGTAATAAACAAATAGATATTTGTCATTGGTAATAAAGAAGAAAAGAAAATAATATTTATTTATTGTTTGTAATAAAATAAGAAAAGTGAGATGACACTGAAAAAAGAGTAAATGAAATGTTCACTGTAAAAAAATATATATATATTTCTAGAAACCACTCAATTGCATAATTAAGAGAAGCTACTGTATCCAGTTTTGCATTTGGAATACTAAATGCTTATGCCTGGGTAGGCTACACCCAGTTAGTAATTCATAATACACAAAAGAAAAAAAGAGGTCTGATACAAAAAAACTCCCAGCACTACAGCCACAGCCTATTGTAGACCAACATCAAAACAAACACTCCATTGTGCACCCAATTTACAATGGTATAATCTGTTGTTGGGTGACTTTCGACAGGGGTGGCTTTCTTCCGATTTCCATCCAATGATGCATAGTTTGGATAGGTTTCTTTGATTATGTTGTGAGAACTTCATGTAGTATCATGTACCAATTAATTTCCCACAAGGACGGAATAAAATATTATTACATTAGTATCATATATCATATCGTCTAGGCCTACTACTCCTAGGCACTATCTACTATCGAGACTACAATTGGGCTAGGCCAAGGAATAGCCTACGGTCTAGCTAAACCAGGGTAGGGCCTAGGGGCGACCCAGGACTAGAGAATTGATTCACACCGAGACTTGATCCACCTTACCAAACAGCCAAGCATGCAGACAAATAAAAAAAAATAAACAAAGAAATAAACATGGAAGTAAACAGACAAATAGAAAAAAATAAACATAGACCTTTACGAAAATATCCAATTGAAATTCATTAGAAAAATGTATAGGATTCATATTGTAATTCTTATTTCAATTGCTATAGGAAATTCTATGTGACTCTGTCGGAAATTGGCCCAATATTTTATAAGATCTTCTAAGACTTTTTATTGGAAATTTTAAAGATCCAAT